CCAAATATGGTAAAAGCCGGTAACGGCTGCATCCAAATACCTCTAACAAAATGTTTTTGTCATTAACATTTTTACATGTCGAATGTTCTTTTTTTTTTTTTTTGTTAATTTATTTGGCCCCACAAAAGATTTTGTTAATTTTTTTCTTTTTGCCTGACTCAGAAATTCTGCTGGTGCAAGCAATGTTTGTTTGGTGCAGGTCATGTTAGTGTCGGCCTGGTCCTTAAGAGGCTCTTCAGACCTGATAGCTGAGCCCCTTTATGTCATCATGTCTCTCTGCGGGACTTCAAGTGGCAGGTGTTAAACAGAGGAGAGAGAGAGAGAGACTCTGAGGGAGAAAGCATGTAAGGTGATACTTCACCAGTCTGATTCAAATCAGATATCAGCCTCACAATAGGCCAGAAATCTCCACTTCCCTTAGAAACTTTGCTCCAAAGGGGGGGAAAAAAAAGAAAGAAGTCCTTTACAGCATTTGTCAGTGGTGGAGAGGTGCGCGGCTGAGACCAGTACCAGGGTGGACGTCTGCAGTGTCTGTGTCTGCTGAGGCTCATACAGGTTCAGAAGTCAGAAGAAGGGAGAAGATTAAAAACTCAAGCTGGGCTCATTGAGAATCCCACGTCCCTCATTTTATGTTTAAAGCTCACAGATGTCTGGGAGGTGAAGGAGAAACAACGGTTCAAGAACAACCTCCTCTTCAACAAGGACGCCCCGCTGTTCTCCCACCACTTTCTTAGATAATGATGGCTGGAACAACGTGGTGGCCGCTCAGATTAGGTTCAAGTCTCTACGTTCATTCCGTCACTGAGTCTGTGAGGATCTGGTTCCTGCCTTCACGCTTTGACTTTGTGTCTCTGAGGCAGAGTTTGTGTTCGAGGCGATGCCTGTCTCCGAGGCGGGACCCGGGTCGGCAGCAGGCTGTTGGCTGCGTTGCACTTGGACGTGCTGAGCCGCTGTGCGCAGCGACTGCTGGGCAGCGTGCATGGACCGGAACTGCATGTTCCGACGGTGGCGCAGTGATTCGCTACGTAAAAGGGCATTTGAGTACTGGACTTCAGGCATGATGAGCTTGAGACAGAGTTCCTGGGCCTGCCTTGAAAGGCCGGTGGCGACATTCTCCGGTATTTCATAGCCCACAATGTCAACATTCTTGTTAGGCTTGAACGGACGAAGGTCCTTGTTCTGGATCTCCTCCCCAGAACGAAAAATCGGGCTCTGCCCAGAGAAGCAGCTTTTGACCAGCCGCCCCTGTTCCTGTTCCAGGAGTCGCAACTCATTTGCCAACAAACCTGGACCCAGAGCAGACAGCTGGCGCCACAGTGAGGCGTTGAAGTAGTCATAAAGTATGGCGTCTAAGAAATTCCAGTTGCGGATCTTTGCGATAAGGCTAGGTGTGAGGCTCTGCTTTGAGTTTGAGGTCCGCATGTTGTGCTTCAAATAGACTATGTCCTCCAGGTCCCAGGAGAGAAGATGGCGTAGAAGAATTAGCGATTCGTCAAAGTGCTCGGTAATCATCACCAGGGAGAAGTCCTTCTCCATCTCTTCTATAAAAGCCTGGGCGTAGGCTAGGTCAGTTGAAGGGTGATCCTTCTTTCCTCCTAAGTCGTGCGTCAGTGTGTTGTGCGCGTACATGGAGTCCTTTTCAGAGGGGCGGTAGAAATGCCACGGGTCATCTAGGAAGGCCTCCAGTAAGCCATTGGGAACCCTCCTGAAGCTCGGACAGTACTGGTTGTAGTAACTGAACAAGGACTCAAACATGGAGCCGGGTTCTCGCAGTATTGTAATGTAGATTGTGTTCTCGGGCATCAGTCGCTGAAGCTCTGCCTTGTTGAATCGCATGTGACTGGCGATGATGTTGGGCGGCACTGTGTGTGGATCCACGAAGCGAGTGGTGAAAGACTGCGGGTAGCAGAACTGGTGTCCACACCCCTGCACAGGCAGCGCCACCGTCAGGTTGTGGCGCTCCGCAAAGCGGAACAGCAGATTCTGCATGGTGGTGCTGGCTGTTTTGTGGGTCTTGAGGAACGCCACGTTTGTGTGTTTAGGCTTCGACTCCGGACCACAGTGGAAACGCGTGGAAGGACAACCGATCTGGAAGGATTCCATAGTCCTGAAGAAAAAGAAAGAGAAACAAGATCTTGCTTTGAGTCTCTGTCAGCTTCTTCAAACAACGGCTTTCACTCCAGATAAAAATGATTGCAAGAGGGGAAGATTTCTTGACAGTCGATGCACAGGAACACATTAACATTAGTGTTGTATAGTAAGATACTTGGAGTTTGCTCAAAAGACTTTTACTTTTTTTAAAGACAAATAGGTCAGAAGGCTTTTCTAAGACGGAGTGTTTTCTACTCCTACTCCCATGTAGATGCTCAGACCCAACGTGGTTTAAAAGATCCTTTTTTATCCAGTTAGCAGAACTTCTAGAATATATCTATCAGCAGTGACAGCAAAACTATTTTAAGCATCTGCAGTTTTACAGTTTGGCAGTTTTAGTATAGACAACCGTCACCGTCGTCAGCACCTGGAGTCTTTTAATTGGCCGCTGACATCAATATGGAAAAGGTAATTTTCAATTTCCAAACAAGTTTTCCTCTATGTGGCTGCGTTGAACACACTGATTTCTTTCTAAATGAAAACCCCGGTGGTGGGTTCATTTGTCAGGACAGTGTTGTGTCTGCCCTCAGTCACTCACCAGCTCAGATGGCCCCCCTTCTGCAGCAGGATACTGATGGTGCTGATGATGACAACCACCACGAATATCTTCTTCTGCGACATCACTCGCTGCATCACTGCGACTGTGGGTGTAGAGTCAGGAGAAGAGCGAGGTGAGAAAAAGCAGAGGAGGAGAGCATGAGAAGGAGGGCAGGCGGAGGCGTAATTAGAGAGCACCAAAAGAATGAGGTGGAAGGAGAGCGCTGGAGCAGGAAAGTGGGCAGCAGGGAATTAGGAAAGTGGTGCCATCAAGGGGGAGGAACTGAGGGTGAGGGGGGGGAGAAATAAAAATGAGGAAGAAGGACGGGGGAGAGAGACAGAATGAGAAGAAGACGAAGGTGTGCTGTATGAAGGAAACTCAGGGTCATTGTAGACGTATCATAGGATCATTATATAGATGGATGGATGGATGGATGGATGGATGGATGGATGGATGGATG